AACCAACCCAAATGCCCATCAATCAATAAGTAGATAAACAAATGGTGGTATATATATACATAACGGAATACTACTCACCCATAAAAAGGAATGAGTTAACAGCATTCACAACAACCTGGATGGGATTAGAGACTATTATTCTAAGTGAATAACTCAGGAATGGGAAACCAAGCATCATATGTTCTCACTCATAAGTGAGAGCTAAGCTGTGAGAATGCAAAGGCACAAGAATGACACAATGGATGTTGGGGACTCAAGGGGAAAGGGTGGGAAGGGGGTGAGGAATAAAAGACTACAAATTGGGTGCAGTGTATACTGCTTGAGTGATGGGTGCACCAAAATCTCACAAATCACCACTAAAGAACTTACTCATGTAACCAACCACCACCTGTTCCCCAATTACCTATGGAAATTAAAAATTTAAAAATATAAATAAATCAAATAAAAAATCTGCACCACACCAAAAAAGGACGTTTTTTCCCTGTTTTCTTCTAGTAGTTTTACAGCTTCTGGTATTATGTTTTAATTCTTTTAACTATTTAGGGTTGATATTTGTATATGGTGTGAGATGAGGATTTAATTTCATTCTTCCCCATGTGGATTATCCAGTTTTCCTAGAATCATTTACTGAAGAGATTGTCCTTTCCCCATTGTGTGTTCTTGGCATCTTTAACAAAGATCAAGTGACCATAAATGCATGGGTTTACTTCTTGGCTCATTATGCTGTTCCACTGGTCTATGTGTCTGTTTATATGCCACTGCCATGCTGTTTTGATACTACAGATTTGTAGTAGACTTTGCAGTAAGGTACTGTGATGCCTCCAGCTTTGTGTTTTTTGGCTCCAGATTTCTTTGGCTATTTGGAGTCTTTTGTGTTTCCATGCAAATGTAAAGATGTATTTCTCTATTTCTATAAAAAATGCCACTGTAATTTTGATAGGGATTGCATTGAATCCATAGATTACTTGGTTAATATAGAACTTTTAACAATATTAATTTTTCTAACATATGAAAACAGGATACGTTTCCATTAATTTGTGTTCTTTAATTTCTTCAATGTTTTACAGTTTTCACTGTCTAGATCTTTTTCCTCCTTAAATTTATTCCTAGTTATGTTTTAGTCTTTAATGCTATTGTAAATGAAATTGTTTCTTTTTTTGCATTGTTGGTTCTAAGTGTGTAGAAATGCTACTGATTTTTGTATGTTGATTTTGGTAAGATCCAACAGATACAATTTCATTACTTCCTTTCCAGTCTGGATGCCTTTTCTTTCTTTTTTTTTTTGAGACGGAGTCTCGCTCTGTAGCCCAGGCTGGGGTGCAGTGGCCGGATCTCAGCTCACTGCAAGCTCCGCCTCCTGGGTTCACGCCATTCTCCGGCCTCAGCCTCCCGAGTAGCTGGGACTACAGGCGCCCGCCACCTCGCCCGGCTATTTTTTGTATTTCTTAGTAGAGACGGGGTTTCACCGTGTTAGCCAGGATGGTCTCGATCTCCTGACCTCGTGATCCGCCCATCTCGGCCTCCCAAAGTGCTGGGATTACAGGCTTGAGCCACCACGCCCGGCCTTTTCTTTCTTTTTTAACTAAGAATTGGTAAGAGTGGGAATCCTTGTCTTGTTCCTTATCTTATAGAAAAAGCTTTTAGCTTTTCACCTTTGAGTATGATATGAACTTGGACTTATATTATTAACTGTAATGGATTAAATTCCCCAATGAATAGACACTGAGTGGCTAAATAGGTTTTAAACAAATGGGATCCAATTATATGCTGCCCAGAAGAGACTCACTTTACCTTTAAGGATCTACATAGGCTGAAAGTGCAGAGGCTTTACTTTTAAGGATCTACATAGGCTGAAAGTGCAGAGATGAAGAAAAGATATTCCATGCAAGCAGTAACTAAAAGAGAGCAGAGGTAGCTACACTTACATCAGATAAAATAGAACTTAAGAAAACTATCACAAGAGACAAAGAAGGTCATTATATAATGACAAAGTAGTCAATTCATCAGGAAAATATAACAGTTGTAAATACATGTGTACCCAATATCAGAGCACCTACTTTATATATATATACATATATAAAGCAAATATTAACAGAACTGAGGGATATAACAATTGTACATATATATGCACCCAACATCAGAGCACCTACTTTATATATATAAAGCAAATATATGTATATATGCATATATATAGCAACACAATAATATATATATCCCGCAGTTCTTTTAATATTTACTATTTATACATACATATGTGTATATACATGTATATAGCAATACAATAATAATATTAGGGGACTTAATTACCCCAATTTCAACCAAAGATATATCACCCAAACATAATCAATAAAGAAGCAGAGGACTTGAACAGCACTATAGACCAAGTGGACCTGTCAAACATATACAAAACATTTCATCTAACAGCAAGGAACATTTTCCAGGATAGATCACGTTAGGCCACATAACAAATCTTAACAAATGTAAGAAGATTAAATCATGTCAAGCATCTTTTCTGACCACAATGATATAAACTTAGAAAGAAGTAACAGAAAGAAAATCGGAAATTTTAAAATTATGTGAAAATTAAACAACACAGTCTTGAACAGGTCAAAGAATAAATCAAAGGAAATTCAAAAAATATCTTGAGAGAAATGAAAATGAACATATAACATACAAAACTTAGGAGTTACAGCAAAAGCAGTTCTAAGAGAGAAGCTTAATTGATAAACACCTACATTAGGAAAAGTGCAAGATCTCTAATAATCTAATGTTACACCTCAAGGAACTAGGAAAAAAAAACTAAGCTTAAAGTCATCAGATTAAAAAACTAATAAAGATCAGAGCAGAAGTAAATGAAATAAAGACTAGAAAATCAATAGAAAAGATCAATGAAATTAAGAGCTGGTTTTTCTAAAAGACAACACAATTGACAAACCTTCAGCTAGATACAGAAAAAAAGAGAGAAGAGGCAAAAATGAAATTATAAATAAGGGTCATTACAACTGACACCACAGAAATACAAAGGATAATACACTACCATGAAGAATTATATAACAAATTGGGTAACTTAGAAGAAATGCATAAATTCCTAGAAACATACAACCTATTAAAACTGAATCATGAAGACACAAAATATGTGAACAGACCAATAACTAATAAGTAAATTAAATGAGTAATAAAAAAGTTTCCTGTTGAATAAAAGCATATTACCTAATGTCTTCAATGATAACTTCTTCCTAAGTTTTAAAGAATAATTAAGAAAAATTCTCCTCAAACACTTCCAAACAATTTAAGTGAATACTTTCAAACTCATTTTACAAGACCAGCACCACCACGATATCAAAGCCAGACAAGGATGCATCAAGAAAAGAAAATCACAGGCTAATATTCCTGATGAACATAGATGCAATAATGCCAAACTGATTTTCACAGAACATTAAATGAATCAACATATGCAAATCAATGTGATATACTATATGTTAATTGATACACTATATGATACACAGTGTGCTACACTATATATTATATTGGGATCATATGATCACAATACATGCAGAAAAAGCATTTGACAAAATTCAACACTTTTTCATGATTAAAAACTGTCAACATATTAGGTATTAAAAAAGCACCTCAATGTGATAAAAGCCATTTACAAGTTAACTTGTGTACATTTTCAATATGGAAACAGAAGTCTAAGTAACCATCACTGTCACTTGTATTATTACTTAGATGGCCTAACTGCTTCTCTTGTCTATACATTCTCCACAGAACAACTAAGCTGATTATTTAATGTGTAAGTCACATTTTATCAACTGCTGTTTTAAACTTCCAGTGCCTTCTCAAGTTGAAGAATATCAAATAATGTATTTAACGTGAGACACAAGGCCCTACATGCTTTGCCCCCGCCTCTCTCCTTCCTCTCTATGCCCCAGAAACAAATGAGCTTATCTTGCATTCCTGGAAAAACAAGATCCCCAAGTTCCAAGGTAGGTCTATTGCACTTACTGTTCCCTACAGGTGGAAAACTCTGCTCTAGATCTTCTCATTTTGTCAATTGGGTCTCAGAAAGATCTCCACCTCTGTGAAGCCTTCTGGGACCAGCAACTGGGCCAGCACCTATTCATTCTGCTCTGCCATTCAATTCTGCTTTAATTTCTACACAGTACACATTACTAGTTGAAATGGTCTTGTTCACTTGTTTGGAGACTTGTTTACTGGGCTGAGTAGGTGAGTTACCAGTGTGAAATATACACACAGCTTTGAAAAGGCAGTGGAGCCTGTGAGAAAAACTAGTTAGATAATGGTACTTTTATCTTAGGGCTGCTCATCTTTCCCAGAAACTTGGGTCCTGCTATTTAGCTAAGCACCAGGTTGACCCTATCAAGCCATCTTACATGGTTTGGGTTTGTGTCCCAACAAAATCGCATGTCAAATTGTAATCCCCAGTGCTGGAGGTGAGGCCTGGTTGGAGGTACGTGGATCATGGGATTGGGTTTCTCATGAATGGTTTAGCATCATCCCTCTTGGTACTATCCTTGCAATAGTGAGTGAGGTCTCATGAGATCTGGTCATTTAAAGTGTGTGGCACCATCCCCCTCTCTTTCTCCTGCTCCAACCACATGAAATGCCTGCTTCCCCTTCACCCATGATTCTAAGTTTCCTAAGGCTTCCCTAGAAGCTGAGCAGATGCCAGCATCATGCTTCCTGTATAGCCTGTGAAACTGTGAGGGAATTAAACCTCTTTTATTTATAAATTACCCAGTTTCAGGTGTTCCTTTATAGCAATGCAAGAACGGACTAATCCACCATCCTTGAAGCCTGAATGCAACCCAGCCCCGCTACTCAGCTGGACAGCCATAATGCGACAACCATCCCCTGAGCTCATTCACCACCACACAATGACATGTTTTCAAATAATCATGAAGTACATAAAGAATTATCTACACACACACACACGTACACACACAGGTTGAAAACACGATATTTGAAATAAAATCAGATTTTAACATTTTGATTACCTTTAATATATTTGGGAACAAATACTGGTGACAACATATTTTAAGTACATAAATAACTCAGAAAAGTCATATCTTTTATTCTGGAACTCTACTGACCTTATCTGTAAAAAGAACCTAGTTTTATAAGAAAAAGGGGGTAGGGGAGGGGAAGAGACAAATGGGTAGACTGAAAAGGAATCAAAGCTCAGGATTCTTCACAAGTGCAGCAGCTTCCACTGTTGGCCCAGAGGATGGTAGTTGCATATACCAGGTTATGCTAACCTCAACAAGATCTAGTTCTCAGACACAAATGTGTCCAGTGGATAAAACCTCAGCTGCAGAAATAGATTTTAGCAATATCCAAACACATTCCAGGGTCCAGTAGGAAGAACAAAGTATTGCAAAATTGAAAACTATCATGGACTTGGCAGCATCCAAGGGCATCACCAGAGGGGCTCTTTCATGCATGACCAGAGTCCTGCAAACTCAAAGTTTTGGGATGTAAATGTAACCAGTTTCATCAAACTGCCACACAGCAGGGCAGTGGAATATAAAGGCAGCCCGTGGGCTTAGGGCACAGGGGCCCAGCTGCACCTAGAAGCCTTGACAGGATGCTGGAGCCCTGGATTCAGTGGTACAGGCTTGTCCATCAAAGCCCCACCCTCAGGTAGGGGCTCAGGTTCTGGGCCTGAAACTGTGCATGTTGTGCCCGCTAAGAGGAGCCTCTTGGCTGGAGTCTGGAGGGTCAGCTCCTGAGCGCTCAGTTTCTGAGGACGGCGACCACGTCCACGTCTGCCATTTGATGGGTGGATAATCTGTGCAGATGGACCAGGGGTGGATGATGGAGTTGAGCTGGGCTTCCTAGAGCTGTGGACGGCAGCAGCCCGGGGCTGCGTAGCAGTGCCACTAACTGCAGATCGGCGTGGGAGTGAAGAGCACACAAGGGTGTGGCAGCGTGTCCCACTGCGGGCAGCCAGAGGCCAAGGGGAATGCCGGGCCCAGTGAGGAGGGAGTTGTCTCAGGCCCAGCGCTGCTCTCCTGGGCAACTGGACCTCCTTCTGGGTGCTCAGCTCTTGGCTGGCTGGTACCTTGGGCTCCATGTGGTCCACAACTGCCCGGTCTTGCCCACGTTTCCACAGCTCATAGCGCTCAGGTTGCAGGATGCGCACGAAGGCGTCCATGGAAAAGGTCACCCTCGCCTCCCCACAGCTACACTGAGAGGCCATTTTGCCATAATCAATCCATCGTGGAGTGGCAAAATTGATGGCCTCCGCACAGTTGAAACCATGGTTGAAGCCAGCGTGGTAGCCATAGGGAAAGGTCACCATGAACTCTCCAGCCTCCTGAGTTATGCGATTGAAGGGAATCCCATTTTCCTTGAGAACTGTAGGCGAGATAAGGGCCACCTTGTGCCGCAGGAAGGCCCCACAGCCCCGGGAACTGCCTGGGAAGAGCTCCCTGGCCAGGCGTTCCAGGCGCTGGCCATGCTCTGGGGGCACCACATACCAAGTTTTGGGCTCCCCAAGGTGCAGGTAGTTGATGCTGTAAAGGTCCATGTCCTCCGTGTGCCAAGCAAATGTGGTCTTCCACATGCCAAAGTACAAGTAGGGTGTGTTAACGCCTTCTATGACAACCCCACATTCCTTTTCCAACAGGTCCTGAATTGTTCCCAGGTGCCCAAGATTCCACTGTTTAGTGTTTTCATCAAACAAGGAGCCACTGATGTCAGCACCATAAATTGGTGAATTATAGATGCGGTTCTTCCAGTATTTTCGCTCCAAATCTTCGAAATTCTGGTGTGGTGGAGTTTGATATTTTTTACTGTTTGCCAAGTGGCGATACTCCCCCACGGTCATGGCTTTCTTTTTTTTATGGTATTGAGTAAACACCCCTGCCCGCCCAGAGGCCACCTGTTGGAGGGGAGTGGCTATTAAGATTTCACTGATGTTATCATAGGTCTCTCTGGCTTTCCATTCTTTGGGTGGAACTATCTTAGCCAAGCCAGCTCTGTGTGCACCTTGGGATTCCATGTAAGCAATATATTTATCAAAATCATTAAACTCTTCTTTGGTTGGATGAAATATCATTATGTTACAATTTGGATTCTGGCCATAGTTGGCCTTAGACTTCATAGTTTCCATTTAATAAGCAGTAAACTCCCAGTGTTTAGGTATGTTCCAGATAGTTGACAATGTAGGAAAATGCTACTTTTAAAAAAATTGGGTTGGTGTATCTATGAGGTAGGAGGGTCTACCAGCCTACTTTTTTTTGCAAATGAGATGATAATTTTTCTCGGGCTTGTTTATTCACTAGTGAGATTCCACTCTGGGCAACAGCTTTGCCCAGGCATTAACGTTAGCTGACCCTGCAACTCTGTTATGTTTCAGTTGCTGCTGGGCTCTGTCTTCTTAAAGTCTATTAAATTACTTAGAGCTGGGGGTGTGACCCAAATGTAGCAGAGTATGTCTTCAGTGTTTAGAACGAAATCTAAAAGAAAGAATACACAGAGATTAAAAATTTATATTTGGAAAAAGTATTAGGCATTCACAAATTAAATACCCGAATAGAATACTAATATTAAAAAGAGAGGCTAAAATTTTATAAGATTGATAAGTCAAGTGGTGGTGTGGATGTGAAACAGTGGGAATTGTCATACCCTACTACAGAGAATATGAAGCACTATAATCACTTTGGAAAACTGTTTGAACAGTATCTTCTAAAACTGAACATACACATGTGCTGTGATCCAACTGTTCCACATGCTTAGGAAATGTGTATGGTTGTGAGCTGAAAGTCACATCCAATAATATTCATAACAACATTGTTTTTGGTAGCCAAACAGTGTAAACAACCCAAATGTCCATCAGCATGGAATGAATAGGTACACTGCAGTATATTCACACAACAGAATACCATCTAGCAATGAAGATAAACAAAAGTCACATGAAAATGCAGTTTTAAAGATCAATATTGAGTAAAATTATCAAGACTCAAAAGAATACCTATTACATAATTCCATTTATATAAAGATGAAAAGGAGGCAAAGTAATCTGTGTTTGAATTGCTTCTTGGCCTTTTGGCTAAGATCAAATGTAGTAATCTATATTTCTTAAAATTTCCTATTTATGTTCAGGGCTTCCGTTAGTACCACGCTGTTTCCCTTTAAACATGTTATTTATTGTCATAGCTTTCTCCAGTAACTGACTCTCTCCTAAGCTTCTGCTTTCCTTCTCTATCTTGGATGGCCCACTGAGCCCATGAAAGTCAACTGGTTTAATACAAATTGATGATCTTTCTCCTGAAACTAAGTTACTCCTTTATATGTCTTTATTTCTACCAAGGGCAATATTGTGCTACATAGTCACCATTGAATATTACATCTCCCTTCTCCCAGACATATGGTCAGTACCTGTCAGAGGGTCCAATGATAGTCTACAGTGAAGCCCCAAGGACATCTAGACACCACAGGGTGTGCTCTCTTTATCTTCCTTATAGAAGAACCCAAGGATCCAGCTTGTCTTCCTCTCCTACTTAAAGTTGTCACTACTCAAGCGAGACACTGAGGATGTACAAGTGACAAGATTACCTGTATCATATGATAGTCCCCCAATCTCATCCCTTTTTTTTTTTTTTTTTTTTTTTTTTTGAGACGGAGTCTCGCTCTGTCGCCCAGGCTAGAGTGCAGTGGCCCGATCTCAGCTCACTGCAAGCTCCGCCTCCCGGGTTCACGCCATTCTCCTGCCTCAGCCTCCCGAGTAGCTGGCACTACAGGCGCCCGCCACCTCGCCCGGCTAGTTTTTTGTATTTTTTAGTAGAGACGGGGTTTCACCAGGTAGCCAGGATGGTCTCGATCTTCTGACCTCGTGATCCACCCACCTCAGCCTCCCAAAGTGCTGGGATTACAGGCTTGAGCCACCGCACCCGGCCCCAATTTTTTAGTCTTAAAAATTATTCGACAATGATTTTATTATGAATTCTTTATATTTTTGGAATATAAAATAAAATATTTCATTCTTTCTATTAGAAAACTTGCTCTAAAGAAATGAAAAGAGAAAAGCGAGACAATGTAGAAGGATAATTAAATATCAGAAACTTAAATACCATGCTGAGGGTGTCTCCCTCAAGAAATAACAAAATGCTGACTATGAAAAATCACACAAATCCGTATTTCTTTTTGAATATACAAGTAAAATAAGCTTTGGATCGAGCACTTTGTATCTGTTTTACAAACTACATTATTTCTTTTCTACATTTCTAAGGATTCTAGGAAGAATGATGCAATGTCTTCTTATACATATAGTCTTCAGATGTTGCATACCAAAAGGAAATACTACAATGTGTAAGTGTGACTGTGCTCCAAAAAAAAAAATAACTGCTTAGAATTTGCCGGGTACAATGACAGAGTGATCCTTCAGTGTTCTAGCCAAATGAGTCACTTCTCTATGAGTCTTCAGTGGTTGCTTTTGTTGTGAGACTACTTCTTGCTTCTTTCAACTGGAGCCATAGCTACCAGTAGAGAGTAATTACACTGTCACTTGATACTCTTCCATTTTGCCCTTACCCACAGTAATCACAATAAGGCAGAATTCATCATCTAAGAAAACTTGACAGTTCTGACAACCAAAGAAAAGTATTTTCTTCTTATCAGAATAATTTAAAAAATAATACTTGATCCCTTAAAATTAATGGATTTCTGGAAATTAGAAAGTCTTTCTTTGGGTCTTTTAGAAATAATGCCTCCTAAGCTTCTTGCTGTGTGTGTGTGTTGGGGGGTGTTAAACTGGGGAAGTTAAGAAGTGAAGCTGAGTAAGTTTAAAGTCCTTTTCACTACAGCCCTTACCCAAACTGTAGGACAATAGGAGAGCCTGTTTGTCTTTCTTGCTGCTTATGTATTTCAAATCTATTACTTCAAGTGGGGGATTGTTGACCAAATGCCTCAGATATCAGCCATTATTTCTTCTGATAGTCAATATCTAAATGCTGTGTTTAACCGAATTTTTGTCTCAGTTAGAAAATCTACTACTTATTTAAAATAATTTATAACCATAATATATTTGATAACTGAAAAAATTCTACTCTATATAGACAAGTGATTAAACTTTTCCTCTATTATTGGACAGCTATTTTGTTTTCACTTTTCCACGATTATTACGAATCACTTTTACTTAAATATGTAGTCCGTATTTCAGTATCTAAAACATAAAAATTTGGAGAAATGAAAAAGACAAAGAGAAAGGAAGTTTAGAAATTCATTTCTCCTGTAAAATATTGGTTGAATGAAATTTCTTAGATTAAGATACTTAAAAATGAAATTACCTTATTATAAAATTTAAATATTTTAAGATCTTTAATACATGTTGCCAAAACTTTAAAGAAAAAACATATTTTACATCCTGAACACTGGCCAACTTTACTTAGAAAAAATATATATTTTACTAATTTTGGTAGTTAAAAAGTTAGATCAACTTTTAATTTACATTTCTTGGACTACCACTAAGGTTGATTTTGATTTTTTTCATAAATATTAGTCTTTTGGATTTCATCTTATGTATTGGTTCACATCCTTTGACCGTTTTTTTCTAATCGGGTCCCAGGGTATTTTCTTACCTACTTATATAAACATTTTACATATTAATTACATCAATATTTTACATATTAAACCCTTTTGTTAGATATGTTATTTTTTGCCAGTTTGTCATTTAACTTGTATTTCTTTAAATTTATTTAACAAAAATGTTTTTGACAATGTTTCATTTTCCTTTGTAATATTTTTCGTGCTTTTCATGTTTAGAAAGTTATAATACTCCTTCATCTAGATGGAGATATTATCATAGTTTTTTTCCTTTGTATATGCTAATTGCACCTTTAATTCTGACTTTAATTATACTTTTAATCTGTATTTTGGAGAGAATAGTTATTAACTTTTGAAATTATTGTGTGGGTATTGGTGTGAGCATGAGTATGAAGAGGATATGAATATGATTCTTGGTTCTTTACAGATGACCTGTTCATTGTGTGTGTTGTTTATTTTAGGTTGTTTCTCTCTATCAACGTTTATAGAAGCTTTTTTTGAACCCATATTCTTAAATTTTATCAGTCTCAAAAATGAAGTTCTTTAATTTCAGGATTTTTTGTTTTTTTTTTTTAGTTCTTTCTTTGATTTCCTCTACTCCTTTTCATCTGTATATTAACTCCTCTTATTTGGATATTGAACCTCTCATGAATTAGACCTTTAATTTTTACTTCTTTGTTTTCCCCTCCCCGAAATTTTCTATTGCTTTATCACTGCATTTTATTTTCTAAAAAATTTCTTCATCTGTATCTCTAAACTTCCTTTCTCTTTGTCTTTTTCATTTCTCCAAATTTTTAATTTCCAGAGATCATTTCTGTTACCTGAGAGTTTCTGCATGTATGTACATTCCTTTCTTTCTTACTGTCTTATTCTTGCTTCATGGGAGCATTTCTTCTTTTATCTCTCAATACTAAAATCTCAATGGTTTTTGAAATTCTATTTTGTTTTTCTCCCTGCATGGTCTGTTTCTTTGAAATTGCCTTTTGTCCATTTTATCTTTCTTTTTTTTTGCTTTCACCTAAGGCTTTCCTCAATGTCTGCTGACCTTTAGTAATTGCCTTATATATAAAAGTACAGCACAAAAAAAGGCAGATTAGAAGCTCAGGGTACATGAATGGTTTTATTGATTATGCTTCCCTGCATGATATTCTAACTGGGCTGTTTCCTAGGTGAACTCCTAACACTGGTATTTCTAGAGCTGGTCATACTCAACACAAAAGATGCTTCAATCTTTCTCCTGGAGGGTACAGGTCTGACTTTCCTACCAAATGGCAAAAGAGGCTACACATTTCTAAAAGTACCCTACTTGTACAGTTCACTTTATCAACTTATTTTCCCTATGACAACCACACTCTCAAAAGTATCTGGAAATTCCCACTCCAGAGGCCACCTTTTTTTCCTACTCTAGAAAATGAAGCTCAGTCTTCTGCCAGGGTGTAAGAGACACAGTTTATCCAGCTGCTTAGAGGAGTGTGGGAACCTAGGGCTCTATTTTGTTAGACAGACTTTCAACAAATTCTCCTTAGCCTCATTTTAACTGTCACTCCCAGAGGTACCCAATGCCATGACATCCTAAGCCTTTTGGATTCTGTAGAGACAATTGTGTTGCTTCTTGGCTTTCCTCGTTGCCAGTTTAGGACTCAACTTTCTGGTGTTTGATAAATCAGTTTATACTTGTCCATCTGCTTTCCAATTTCCAAAACTGGCCACTACCTGTTTTCCTTTACCATTTTCTGTCTTTGTAAGTTCACTTCTTAAAACAAAAACCCTGTTACTGTCACTTTAGTGAGTTTTGGAAAGGAACAAAGTAAATGATTGTGTTTAAACCACATCTTTATTGCTTCTTGTTTCCCAAATTTATCTCAATTTTCTTATAGAAACTTAGTTCTAGTCAAATACTGCTAATCCTTGTTCT